AAAAGACATCAAAATGGGCATACAACATGGTCGGCACTCGACACACACCAATATGAGGTTGCCTCCCCATCTTCTTTTTCTTTTACATCTTTAGCTAGACGCATCATAAGGAACTAAGGGTTGGCGAGGTAGATCACCTCTTCAGAATGATCCACTTTGCCTCCTAGTTAGTGCTTGAGGTGATGGTCGTTAATGATGGCCCTTGGTGTCCTAAACCGGGAGATGAGTTGCTTCAAAAACTGACAGACAATTCGAGATGTAATCCACAATCACAAAAATATAGAGATTGCCAAAAGACTTAGTGAAGGGGCTCATGAAATCTATGCCCCAAACATAAAAAGTTTTCACAAGTAAGGAACACATTCTGGGGCATTTCATTTCGAGAAGAGATATTACCTGACCTCTGCCAACGGTCGCACCAGTCCGAAGGACTCGACGTCATTGAAGAGCTAGGGCTAGTAAAATCCTTACTCTAGCACCTTCCTTGCCGTGCGATTTATCGCGTGTTGGCCACCTGTAGGCCCCTCATTGTATTGAGTCAGAATGGCCTCCATCTCTGTCTCCATAACACAATGGTAGATCAAGCCATTAGCTCTGACTCTTAACAAGTATGAATCATCCCAAAAGTAGTACTTTATGTCGGAGAAAAACTTTTGCTTCGCATGAGCCGTCATTCCCCTTGGGAAATGCTTGCCACCAGATGATTGGTGAAGTTAGAAAACCACATGGTGACACTCTCCACCAAGCACAACATCAGAAGTCGCTCATATAGAAAGGAGTTATTGATCTCTTCCACGAAGTTTTCCACCTATTTGACTCCCAACCTCGATAAATGATCAGCATTGACATTCCCGACCCCATTCTTGTCCCTGATCTCAATGTCAAACTCTCGCAACAACAGGATCCGTCGTATGAGCCGAGGCTTAGCATCGGTCTTGCTCATCAGGAACTGGATGGCAAAATGATCTTGCAGCAACATGACATCACCATATAGGGCCATAACTTATCGTACTTATACACCACAATCAGTAGCTCATTCTCTGTGGTGGTATAGTTTTCCTGGGTATAATTGAGGGTCTTTGATGAATAATAAATGGGATGGAAGTATGGATGGTCAATGGGTGGTTGGGTGGGTTATTGGTCGAAATCCACCTACCCATCATTATGGTTGGATGGTCTTTCATAACTTTTTCTCTCCATAAAGCTCTCAGCTCAGTTTTAGGTCAAATGAATAGGATCCTTGTAAGAAAAAGTAAAAATCATTTGTTAACAGCAATTGGCCATTCCTCGGTCATGTTACACTGTCATGGAATAGGGATCCAGACCATGTAACATCAAAATGCTATGTTTGGATGAGCAGCTTCCAGGTCAATTCCATGGTTAGCGTCACTATTTCCACGGTCGTGGAATATTACTCACCAGATCGAGGATCTTTCTGCCTGTGTTCCACAGTCTAAAATCCTGATCCACAATCGGGGAATAAACTTCATCATGGAATTTGCTTTCACATCCTTCAAATCCTGCCCGCTCTCCAAATTGCCTAAAACTTGCTCCTACACCCTCATTCACGTCGTAAGATGTGAAATATCACCAATAGGGATGACCTAGAGTAAAATCGGATTAATGTGCAAGAAATCAATCTCAAACGCTGAAGAAATGAGGGAATAAACATGTGTAATTAGAGTGTTATCACTAGCTCTCCATGTAGAAAATCTATCTTCACGTCTAGTTGCTCAAGCTCCTAGTCCTTATGTGTTATTGCTAGTAACACCCTGATTGAAGCATGTAAGGCCACTGGTGAGAAGATCTCATTGTATTCAATACCTTCTTTTTGTGTGTAACCTCTCGCAACCAGCCGAGCATTATATTGGATACCCTATGCAGATAACATCCTTTCCTTCTTTTTGAAAATCCACTTTGCAAGTAACAATCTTCCTTCCCTGTGACCATTGACTAACTCCCAAGTCTGATTCTTATCAAGGGATTGTATCTCATCTCCCATTGAAGTAAGCTTGAGTAAACTCGCCACACGAAACAACCTCTTTGTAGCTAAGTTTCTCACTCATATCCACCTTCTCAAAAACCTGAACTACATAACCCACCATATCCTCAAAGTCATACCTTGTTGGAGGTATTCCTACAATGGATTTTTTTGGACTATCGGAAGCTATAGACAGATAAGATGTGTACTAGATCCTGAAGATTTTGGCGCATCAGAAACATCTGTATTGATTTTATCCACATTGTTGATGTACTCAAATCTAGAATGTTTTTGCAGCTCCACCTATTTGTCAACATGGGGTTAAACGTGAATTTCTCATCAAATATCACATTACCTCTAAGTATAACTATATACTCGAAAGGTGACCAGACTCGATATCCTTAACTCCATCCCCGAAGCATACAAAAACACCATTCTTTCCTCTTGGATTCAATTTACCTTCATCCATATCAAAGTACACACAGTGGCGGACCCAGAAATTTTTCATAGGGGTGTCATCTTTTAAAAATAAATTAAATAAAAATAATTAATAAAAATAAAATCGTAAATTTGAAATACCTTACTCGTACAGGTTAAAAAAGTCCATGATTTGTTTTCATATTCGGAAATAATTGTAGAATACACTTGGTGTCTATAGTGTTAAAAAAAATTGTCTCTATATACCCTACTAGACAATCATTCACGAACTTATTGCATATTCGATTTGTAAACTTGTTCTCGATGTAACCCAAAGCTGAAAGACTCTTTCAACACTTGTTGTATTAAGGGTAGCTTGAAATTAGTATAATTGTTAGGTTTTTAAAATAATTAGAGATAGGAAATGACATTTTACTATTACATTTTTCAAAATCGAACAACAAATGAGTTTTAGGTCAACGAAAATTAAGTTTATTAATAAGAACAGTGTTCTAGATTTGAATTATCCAATCTACCAGTTATATTCCTATACTTGCCGTATTAAGGGTAGCTTGAAATTAGTTTAATTGTTAGGTTTTTAAAATAATTAGAGATAGGAAATGACATTTTACTATTACATTTTTCAAAATCGAACAACAAATGAGTTGTAGGTCAATGAAAATTAAGTTTATTAATAAGAATAGTGTTCTATATTTGAATTATCCAATCTACCACTTATATTCCTATACACAAATGACAGTAGGATAATCATATTTTCAAATTTCAGGGGTGTCCCTCACTATCAATTTTTTTTTTGTCCATACGTAAATTACCACCGGGGGTTGGATAATCGTATTCCCAAAATTTATGGGTGTCCGGGGACACCCCTAAAACCCTTGGGTCCGCCCCTGAGTACACATGATTACAAAAAACTTTCAGCAAAGAGTAATCGGCAGGCTTCACAAACCACACCTCATAAGGTGTTTGACATTCGATACTAGTGTGAGGTCCATGGTTGATAAGATAGCATGCCATGTTTACTGCTTCTGCCCATAATATCTTCTCCACCCAGCATTAGAGAGCATGCATAGTGCGTCCATCAATGTTCGATTCATGCATTCTGCCACTCCATTCTGTTATGGTGTAACAAACGCAAATCTCTTATATCTACTAGACAGACGCAAAATTCTTTTGATCCGCCATACAGATCAAAGCTCCTTTGATCCATCACACATGCATATGCCAAATCAAGAGGCCATAGAATGAGGGTCCACCAAACATTATGTCCATCTGAATCATGCTCCGAAGTCACTTGTTGTAACGGATTTGAAAATTTCAAGTGGTTTCGTGGTTCATTAACGCAAATTGTGTTAGGCTGTTAGCAACGTCCACAGGCAGGAGAGAGAATAGTTTCACTATACTTCAAAAGATATTGATTACAAAGATTGAGAAGTATATATAGTACATTCTTCATACAGCCTAACCTAATCCAAACTGAAAAATAAAAGGTTACATACCAGACCCAAAATAGTGAAGCAAACGTGTATAAACCTATACATAGTGGATGCATTGCACCCGAACCCCTAGTTGATGGCATATAATCTATCTTCAAGTCATAGCAACATATATGGTAATGACTAGAGTATTGTTGTGATATATCATACTCCAAGTGATTTGATCGTTGAATGTACTTTGTTGTTCATCGACAAATAAGAATAATTTAATTATTATTAATTATTAACTTATATCCTCGGACTTGAGATGAGAGAATAAAAATTTGAAGTTCGTCTATTAGTATTAGGTTATACTATCATTTCCTACCCTAAACTCGATTAGTAGTACACAAGTCTAACCATGTATTTTTATAATCTTATATTACAATTTGTGTTTTGTATCGGCAACAAGTAACAACAAATTCAATCTTATAATTCCATGATATATCTTCAATTACAGTGACTTGATTCAAGAAATCTTTTTAAAATGACAAATACACACAATGAAATAAAAACAATTTGAGGAACAGTCAATAATCTTTTTTCTTTTCCGTTGAATAATGTTAAGAGACACCATAAATCCATAATGCCGATATCTTTTTGGTAAAATGAGTAGTTATGTTGCCTTTGAATGGATCAACTTACAAACAGAAAAACCTAACTTTCTTTTCTCTGTCCGGAATCATTGGTCATCTAAAAATTTTTGAATGGATCAATTTTTTTAACAGAATCCTGTTACCGCTCTGAACTATACCCCAAATTCCTTACCAGGTTTCTGACACATGGAAAACCACCGCGTGAAAGTGGGGGAACTTTTGGTACACCATGGGTTCACTTCCTAGAAATTCCAATGGTATCTTCTTAGAAGCCCAAACAAAAATAGAAAACCCCCATCACCTTTCTTTCTTTACTCAGAGGGACTAACAACAGTAGTAAACTAATTGAGTGCAGTTGACTGACTTGGTCTCATTGCCCTTCAAATGTCCCCCCCCAAATGGCAGTTCTGGTAATTAATGGAACATCTCCTTTCCTATATATATTCAGATCAGAAAAATAAACACAGACCCACTTCTCATGTTTCAAAAGAAAAAAGAAAAAGGTCGATCAAAATGGCAGCAAATTCACTAAGCCATCACAACAAGTCTCTTCCTCTGAGCAATTCTTCCCAGTCTGTTAAGAAGGCCACAAAGCTCATAGCTCCAATTCTCTTCTTCTTTGTACTGTTGCAGCATTCTGCTTATGTGTTTCCTCTGTTCCTTGAACTTTCCAGCACAGTTGTGGACAAGAATTACATGTTCATCGTTTGCAATGGGATCTTGGTACTGATTGCCAAGAGTTCTGGTCTGATTGGGAACGGGGAGAAGAAGAAAGCAGCAGGATTTGATCAAGAGATGGAAGATAAGCAGAAACTGGAAGAGGTAGAAGAAGAAGAAGTGATTGCAGAAGGTGAAAGGAGAGAGGAAGAGGGTAAAGATTGCAGCTTTATTATGGAAGAGGCGATTTCAGAAGGTGGAGGGGTGGAAAAGGTGGCTAAAGATTGCAGCTTTATCACAGAAGAATTGATTTCTGAAGGTGGAGGGGTGGAAAAGGTGGATACAGATTGCAGCTTTGCCACAGAAGTAGTGATTTCAGAAGGTCAAAGGGAAAAGGAGGAGGATAAAGACTCGAGCTTTATCGCAGAAGAAGTTGAGGGTTTTGATTATGAACAAGGAGAGCATGGAAATGGGTTGCTGAGTAGTGAAGAATTGCAGAGGAAATGCGAGGATTTCATTAGAAAGATGAAAGCTGGGATCAAGTTTGAAGCTCAACAACAGCAGCAGCTCATCATGGTTCAGTGACAAATAATCACAGTCCGACTGAATTTTTCAGTTTGTCTCTCTTTTCTTTTTACCCATGATTTTTCCCCATCCATTTCTGACATGGGTTTTGATCGGAAGCCTCCCACTAGTTGGAACTTCTTTCACTGTATTATTGTAAAGAAGGAAGAAAGGCCAAGCTCACTTGACTGCAGATTTACCCAAAATTCTGGGAATCATTATGTTGTTAGCTTAGCTTTGTACTTCAACCTTGGCCCGCATCAGAAGCTACTGCGTTGTAAAAAGTAAAATGTGCATTCTTCCCAAGAAATGGATCAACAGATATGGTAGTTGAGAGTTTGAAACAATTGGTTTTATATAATCCATTCCCAGGTTGTGCTTTTGAGGTGCCAGCTAGCTTGTGTTAACTTTTAATGAGATTGCACCTATCAGAATTTATGTTGATCCTTTGTTTTTTAGTTTTACAATAGGGGAACTGACTTGTTAAAAAAAATGGCAAAAGACAACCAGATCAAGCATTACATATCCATTTGCTGTTAGTCATATCTTATATGTTTGTTTATGATTTACAATATAATACTAGACATGAGTTTTTGAAGTTGGTATAATCCTCATTTAGTTTAACAAAAAAAGTTGAGCTTTCAGTCTTTTATTATGATTGTATTCAATTGGGCTCACTCTCTCTCACTGTCACTCTTTTCATTGTTTTCACAAGTTTCTGTCAGAGCAATTGCAAAATTGATATGGGGAGGTCCCTCTGAATAAAAATCAAATCAAATCAAATCATTATCACACCAAAGCATGGGGCCATAGAAATGGCTAAGGCAATACACAAACTAGTGATTCATGAGCTGTGGCTCATTTGGGTCACAACTCACAACTAGTTCACCAGACAATGTATCCTCAAGCCCATTTCCACTACAGATTTTCAGATTCCCCTCTTTGGACTATTATGCCATTTATCTTTTTATTGTTTTTTCTTTTCTTTTTATATTTATTTTTAACTTAATCGAAATAATGAGATTATGTGGCTTTTTTTAATTTTTCAACATTTTTTATGCTGACTGGGCGGTGATGTGGCGCGTTGACCATTAGTCAACACGTTTGACCGTCCAAGTTAACGGTCAAACGTCGGGTTTGGCCAATTTAGTTATTTTTATGTATAGGTTGGGCCAGGATGTTATAGATCGAAAAGATTGGTCAAGATGTTTATTTTGGTCAAAGTTCAGACCATACAAATATATTAACCCAAAACTTTTTATATAAAAGTCTTGGTTAAGCATCTACTATTCATTAATAATTTTTTTTTTAATTTTACCAAAGTTTAAAGGTCAATCTTTCAAGAGTGACATATGACAATCTTTCAAAGAGACATATGTCAACATTTTTTTACTTTTAGTTTTCAAACTTATGTTTTCCATATTTCATTTCTCTCCCTATTTCTTATATTTTTGTTTGTTGTTCTTAATCGATTTGTCATTTGATTTGATTTTGTATGCTTACTCATCTATCTCGGTAGAGACATGCTTTCGTATTTGATTTTGCATGATTAGTCATCTCTCCCGATCGAAGTCGTATATGATGTTAACGATAAAAATCTCTCTCTCAATCGAGAAGAACAGAAGTAGCATTGGAACCAACGAAACTAAATACTATGTTCTTTCGCCTTTTCCTTTGATTTTGTTGATTTATTATATTCTTTTTTTTTATCTTAGTTGACAATCCAAGGAAAATTCTAAATTTATCTTTTTGTTTGTTGGGCAAAATAATACACATAATCTAATGATAAATTCTCTAATTAATAGTTGTCAAACTCCAAATCAAGCAAATACTTTTTCATCAATAATTTGTAGATCGTCCTCCTATGATCCATAGCCTCATTGGTCATAGTGCAAATTGCTACGGAGTTCTCTCACAATATCTTTGTGATTTTTCTTGTTGCTTTTCCAATTGCCTTATGAATTATATTTTGTTAAATGTTTCATACAACACAATTAGAGTGTTACTTTCAACTCACTGCGTAGTGCAAGCGAACATGCCAATATTGATACATAAAAGCCTTGGTTTCGCATTTACTATTTATTAAGAGGGTTTTGTTTAATTTTCATCAACTTTAGTGGCATTACACTAAAGCCACATATTCAGATAATTTTCATTTATTTTGCCATTTTCCGTTCATTTGCAACTTGCAAGTAAACACCTATTTATCTCATTTTCCCTTTTTCATTTATTTTAATCACACATGGCCTCTAGAAACCTTTTAGAAATCCTCTTTTATATTTCTATTATTTTGAACTTTGGTTTTTGTTGTTCTTAAATCGACATCTTTGTTCGTATTTGATGCATATTCCGCCTATGTGTTTTTCATTCTTGAATTTTTATTTATTGGTATTTTTATAGTTTTTGTGCTATTCAACTAAAAGTAGACCGGTCACGCTTATTCGGATAACGTATATTGGTGAAAGATTTTCCAATTACGAATTCTTTTAAATTGACCTTTGTGAGTATTCTGGCTATTCAACTACATGTCGTTTGATCATGCATATTTCAATCATGTGTGTTTCGATAATCCATTTTCCATTTTTGAATCCTTATCGATAGAACAAGAGAACCACATTAATTAATTGATTTTAACTAGAAGTTCGTATTTGGTTTGGCCCTATTATTTATCTATTTGACAATTTGCTAGATCTAAAGACACCCTCACGGTGGGACAACGGAGTCGCTACAATAGTACTCATTGAAGAACAAGAGAACCACATTAATGATTTTCAAAATGTTTTTGTTGTTCCCGAATTGGTACCTATTCATTGGGCAACAAGTCCATTTTGTATTGTTTGCTTCACCTTATTGCAAAATCTGTTTTCTCGATTTTTATTTAGTTGCTTAGATTTTTCTATTCATCAAATGAGCTAGTCGTGCATTTTTTGGGTTTGTGTTCTTTAAAAATTAATTTATTCTAATCACATCTAGCCTTTCACATTACTCATTCTATGTGAAGCACAGTGAGCGGGCATATCTAGGACAAAGAAATGCTTTATCTTGAGACGAGAGACAAAACAAAACCCCACCGCTACAACTAAATTGCTTCTTCCAACTCCTTTGATTTCCTGCTTGTGTATATGTTCCAGAGAGCATGTCCCAGTTTCTTAACTCTGCCCTTTTTTTCCTCTATCTGGCATAGGCTAAGATTTGTGCACATGCACCATCATGAGGACAAATTTGAAACCAAAAGTTAGAAATGATTGATTACACCACAGGCAGAAGGAAATTCTTGGGAACATATGGACAATGATGTTCCCACTTTCTATGGTTGGTTTACCCCAGCAATTATGCCAACTATGTCGCAACTCAAAACAGCCAGAAAACTTTGAAGACATGAGATATGCTCTCAATTTGTTAATCAGAAGTGCATACAGCCTGAGCACTAATGGAATGTGTAAGAATCATGGGTATTTTGGGGAAGAATCGAGAGAGAATGAGAAGAGAATTAGGGTTAGGGATTGAGAATAGAGAAGAATTGGGAAAGAATTTGAGAAAAATAGAGAGAAGAAGAGATAGGAATTCAGTAATTTCAATATTATTCTTTGCTTAATCTGAAAATAACAGTGTCCTCCCCTGTTGACACCTAAAATTAGATTGGCCGGAATTAAATGCCGCAGTAATTAGTCTCGGCATTCAATTCGATATTCCAGGTAAAAAATAGTGTCGCATAGAGACAAGCGGCATCGCGGAGAGTTAAAACGATATCGCGAAATAAAAAACGGTACCGCAAGGAAGCTCAGCGGTACCGCGACACTGGAAACGACACTGTTTGCCGGAAAACAAGAGGTGGGCCGCGTGTGTAGCATTGGTGTTGGAAAAGGAGTATTTTATTTTATTTATTCCTTGTCGGAAGGGGAGAAGCGATACCGCGTGGAGTCGAGCGGTGTCGCGGAGAGTTAAAACGATACCGCGAAACAGAAAAGCGGTACCGCAAGGAAGCTCAGCGGTACTGCGACACAGAAAACGACACCGCCGGAAAAGAAAAGGGGCCGCGCGTTTTAGTGTAGGTGTCGGGGAAGGAGTTTTTGTTTATAATTAATTATTATCTTTATTCCTTGTTGGAAGGGGAAAATCGGTACCGCATGGAGATAAGCGGTATCGCGGAGAGTTAAAACGGTACCGCAGATTTAAAAACGATGCCGCGAGAGCCTGGTAAGCGGTACCGATTAATTAAAAAATCATATCGGGTAAGTGACCAAAGTTCACCCAGCCCAATGCGAGCGCCAACTGGCACTACAGGAAACTGCATATTTAACCACTGTAAAATACGGTGGTTAATGCTAAAAAATGGTGGTTAATACTTTTAACCACCGTAAAAAAACGGTGGATAACTTTGGGGTGGCTAAATGTCAAAACGGTGGTTAATAGTGATTATTGGCCACGGTTTCTGATACGGTGGTTACTAGTATTGGCCACCGTGAAAACAACGGTAGTTAATAATTGTTATTAGCCATGGTATTGGAACGGTAGTCAAAAGTACTAAATTTTTAACTATGGTAACAGTACCGTGGTCAAAAGTACTGATTATTAACCATGGGTTTTCATATACGCTGGTCAAAAGTACTATTTATTAACTATGGTAAGAACGGTGCTTAAAACTAATATACCGGTTGCATTCAATAATGAGCATATATATATAACTGCTGCTACATATTTTGCCTTCTGTAAAAATAATTACCAACACAGAGAAAGGAAGCTGGAATCAATAATTACTTATATATGATCAGCTAAATACTGATTTTAAAATCAGTGTAGAATTCATATCCAAATTTCTTAGTACATAACAATCCTATATCGTTTTAGCTGCTACTTTACATTGCATATCTTCTAGCTAATAATAGTCCTACTACCTTCACATGTTACATGCTTGAACTTGATTCACAAAAGCATCTAACTACTAAGTCAGATATCAAAATCTAGTCTTCAGTCGAACACCAAAATTCATTATGTCAAGCATCAAAATTCCTTCTTCAACT